AGGTAAACTACACATGACATACATCTTAATTGTTGTAAAGTTGGGACTTTATAATTGAGGATCTTGTAAGTAGTCTTTCAGCCTTATGAAGGGTAAGACAAACAGCACATGTGTTTTGCAAGGTGGACTATTTTCAAAGTAACCTCAGTATGTGGCTTTGACAACCTTATATAATGTAGAAAATTAAAGCTAAAAGAAGGCAACATAAGTTAAGCAGGGGAGAGAAATGGTAGCAGGGGAACTAATCCATTATCAGGTTAGCCAAAAAGAAGGAACAACCTGTTAAGTCCAATGCACACTCTTCAGGTCTTGACCTCTCTAGAATATATCACTTTGAGCACCTCCCCTCCTTGAAGTGCTCTTTTCTGTTGGCTTCTACAACAATAACCTGACCTGGTTTCCTTCTGCTCTGGCCACCCTTTCTTAGTATCCTTTCTGGATTCCCCTTCCTTCATTTATATTGATAAAATTTGTATAACATACCTCTACTGCCATCACCCATTATTAAAAATCATTACTATTTTATTGTTTTGACAACATTTTCCCCATGTGTTTTTTTTAAAGTGATATAGATATATAGAGATATAGACAGCTAGCAGATACTTAAATGTGTGTGTTCATTGGGCTTCTAAGTTCTCTTGCAACTTTTTTCATGCTCTATTGCTCAATTTTCATATTTCATCCACTCCCATGACTTCAATTACCATCTATTCTCAGATGACTCTCAAGCTGTACCACCAGTTATGATCTCTTTCCTTCACCAAGATCCATTTGACATCTCCTCCTTATATTCATCTACCTTCCAGACACCCCTACTTAGACCAGAGTTTCTCAACTGCAGCACTACTGACATTTTGTCAAGACAAGTCTTTGTGCGAGGGGCTGTCCTGTGCATGGTAGGATACTTAGCAGCATCTTTGGCCTCGACCCACTAGATGCCCATAGCATCCTCCCAGTCTTCAGACATGTCCCCTGGGGGCAAAATCACCCCTGTTTGAGAACCACTGGTTTAGATCTGCTATAGACTCTTCCAACAGAATAAACAGAACTCATCTTCCACCCCACCCCCCTAAACTTGCCATTTTTCCTGTGTTTTCCATCTCAGGGAAGAGAACTTCCACCTACCTACACAGCCAAGCCAGAAACCTGGAAATCATCTTTGTCTGTTTCTCCCTCACCTCCCACATATAGTCAGCAAATTCTATCAATTTTACAACCTTAAAATTGGATGTAAGATCACACTCCTTAAACTTACATTCAAATTCTTTCATTCTCTTCTTACTTTTTAGGTAGGAAAAAACTAGGTACAACGAAGACAAAGTAAATGAAGGAGAGACTCCAGCTACTAGAGAGGAAAAGGGAATGACCTCATAAAATGCCAGAATGAGGCACAACTGTGATCTCTGGATCAAGTGTCAGGGTTATAACTTTAAGGAGGGAGTACCTTCCTTAATTCTGGGAAGAAATAAGAGTTAGACTAATGAGACTCTGATATGTCAACATGAAGATGAGACTTAGAGGGGGCCTCAACATTTTCTACAGGCCTGGAGGATTTGGGGAAGAACCCCTAACTCATATTTCAAAAGATGTTGTCTGCCTTGTTCTTACTTACGTGTGCAGCTGCTTCTTAGCACTTCTCTCTCCTGCATCCATGGGTTTCCTGCTTGTTCCAACTGGGAGATGATATCAGGTTTAGAAAATGGAAATCCTACTCAAGGGAAAGAAATAAAATCTGATTGTCAGTTTCCAGGACAAAGGGCCACCCCATTTTCAGTCCCACTCTTGTGTTTTCAAGAGCGGAAAACAAGTAACTAATTGTCAAAAGCAATTATACATTTTCTACCAAAGTAGGGTGAGAAACAGTTTAAGGATCTGCTCTGGATTCTGGAGGAAAATGTTAACCAAAGCCTTCTTTGTTTCTTTCTCTCTTTCTTTCTTTCAGAGGGCAGGAGGAGCAGAGGAAAAGGGACAAGCAGAGTCCCTGCTGAGCACAGGGCCCCACACGAGGTGGGTCCCATGACCCTGAGATCATGACCTAAACCAAAATCAAGAATTGGATGCTTAACCGACTGAGCCACCCAAACACCCCCCTCAAAGCCTCCTTTCTGATCGTCCCCTAATAGGAGCATGGGAATCTTTAGAAAGCAATGGCATCCCAAAATGCCTACCTGAGGTGAGGACCCAACCTTACCCAAGGAGACCAGGTTCCTATAGTTCTCAAGCATTACATCCCTGTACAAGTCTCTCTGAGCAGGGTCCAGTTCTCTCCATTCTTCCTCAGTGAAGTTCACAGCCACATCCTTGAAGGATAAGCCCTGAAGCACCTGCATGGGGTTCGGAAATACGGTTGAATGAGGCAGAATTAGGGGAGATTCATGGAATGGAGAGGAAATGGATCCAACTATGTTCATAGTGTCAAAGGCATACTGACTCGTAGGTTAAAGAGTCTTAAAATGTGTATACCCCTTGTTATGCTGAGCGAAATAAGTCAATCAGAGAAAGACATGTATCATATGACCTCACTGATATGAGGAATTCTTAATCTCAGGAAACAAACTGAG